CCAGGGCAGCGCGAGCGGGCGGGCCGAGGGCGCCCCCAGCGGCCGGGAGCGGACCTGCAGCGCGAGGGCGATCGAGGCCCCGCCCCGCAGGGGGAGGCGCGCGGGGCAGAGAGCGCGCGTTGGCGCTGACAGAGACCCAAGTCTAGGTATCCTGCGGGGACGGAGATGCGGTTTCATTTTCAGTCTGAGAGAAAAATCCCGGGGCAGGCTCTCACACCATCCAGAGCACTTATGGCTGCGAAGTCGGGCCCGACGGGCGCTTCCTCGGCGGGTACACGCAGCACGCCTACGACGGCAAGGACTACATCGCCCTCGCCGAGGACCTGAGCTCCTGGGTGGCGGCGGACACTGCGGCGCAGATCACGCAGCGCAAGTGGGTGGAGGCCGGAGAGGCGGAGCAGGACAGAGCCTACCTGGAGGGGGAGTGCGTGGAGTGGCTCCGCAGACACCTGGAGCTCGGGAAGGAGAGCCTGCAGCGCGCAGGTACCGGCCCTGGAGACCTCCCATCCGCGCTCTGGCCGGGCAGCTGCCTCCAGGGAGGAAAGCGGGACCCTTCCCGCAGCACCGCGGGCCTCTCCCTGCACGGGAAGAGCTCCTGGGACTTCACAGCTGAGAGCAGGTCGCTGTCCTGAGCCCCTTCTCTCGGGAGAGGAGAGTCTGTCCCAGCATGGAGGGAGGACCCCGAGGTGCCCCTCACCCTGCCCTTCAGGAGGCTGTGCCCCTGCCCTGTCTCGGCCTGTCCCTGCCCACACCCGGGGTCTCTGGAGGTCTCACTCCACTATTCTGGTCTCTCAGTCTCCACCCTCTTAGGACAGAGGTCCCTTTCCCTCCCCAGACACCTGGAGCCTCCTACCCAGGTCCTACTCACCTGAGTCTAGAACTGTCTGAGGATAGATTATCCCAGATGCCTGTGTCTATCCTGGCTCTGGGGTTTGCAGTCCCCCAAGCCTTCTGTCCTGTCCATTCTCAGGACGGTCACATGAGCGCTGCTGCAGTGGCCCAGGAAAAATGCAAAGGGCCTGAATGTTCCCCTCTTCCCCCCAGATACCCCAGAGACACATGTGACGCACCACCCCATCTCCGAGGAAGAGGTCACCCTGAGGTGCTGGGCCCTGGGCTTCTACCCTGAGGAGATCACCCTGACCTGGCAGAGGGATGGGCAGGACCTGACCCAGGACATGGAGCTGGTGGAGACCAGGCCCGATGGGAGTGGAACCTTCCAGAAGTGGGTGGCTGTGGTGGTGCCTCCTGGAGAGGAGCAGAAGTACACGTGCCGTGTGCAGCATGAGGGGCTGCCTGAGCCCCGCACCCTGACATGGGGTAAGGAGGGCGTTATTCATGGCTGGTATCTAGGGGACCCCTAAGGCCTCGTGTGCTCCCAGGTGGGGTTTGTGGAGGTGCTGGATATGGGTGTGTGGCGCTGGGTGAAGGGTGAGAGAGTGGATCACTCTGCGGATGGGGTCTGGGCCGTTCTGGGTGGGGCTGCGTGGACTGAGGAAGGGAGCAGGCCCAGCCTGGGTGTCCGTGGGCTCCCCCAATAGGCTTGTGTCCTGATGCAGGCAGGAATGTCAGGCTTGCTGCTCCCTCCTGCCTGCTGTGCCGTAGACAGTTTCTCCTCTGAGCTGCCCCTGCCAGGCCTCCCGCCCTACAGCCTCCTGGCTGTGGACTGAACCTGGACAAACTGTGAGCTGAAGTGAACCTTTCCTCCTTTACCTACAGGTGTGGGTAGTTTGTCCCAGCAACGTGAAGGTAACTGAGGACCTGAAAGTAAGACTGAGGGGGAGGTGACACAGGCGCTCTTGTCTTGGTCAGAAGTCTTTCTGTAGACCCACAATGGGCTACGCGCGACAGCTCAGGACAGGACCCCTGGCTTAGTCACTGTGTCATTGCTGGGACACAACGCCTGATGCCTGCAAATTAGAGGAGAAGTTTCTTTTGGCTCCCAAGTCTGTAGAAGTTTCAGTCAGAAGTCATCTTGTTCCAGTCAGAACTGCAGGGCAGAGGGCCTGTCCCTCGAGAGCTGCTCACAGCCGAGCAGACAGGAAGGAGAGAGCAGTCGGGGAGCCCAGGAGAAGGGAAGCCCGACCAGCCACAGCACAGCGACCCTCCTCTTCCCCACACCCGGCTCCTAATCAGGTCAGCGCTGAGCCCCACAGCGCAGCTTCCACATTCCCCACATCTGCATGAGGCTTTGGGGTGCCCTGAGATCTAAAAACTAACAGCTCCTCCCCTCCCTTCCCTTTCTTTCCACTTCCCTCCCCTCCCCTCCCCTCCCCTCCCCCCCTCCTTCCCTTCCCTTCCCTTCCCTTCCCTTCCCTTCCCTTCCCTTCCCAGACTCACCTCCTCAGACAGCCATCCCCATCCTGGGGGTTGTGGCCGCTGTGATTCTTCTTGTAGTTGTGGTCATTGGATCTGTGGTTGCTTTCGTGATGTGGAAGAAGAAGAAGAAAGCAGGTAGGGGTGGGGTCTGCATCTTCCTGTTTCAGCCCCAGGAAGTGTAGCCCCCACACTGTGGGACCCTCCATCCTCATAGGTATTTGCCCAGCCTGCAGTGCTGACACTCACCCTGTTGTGAGACAGGGACAATGAAGGACAGATTTGTCACCCAGAGGGCTGTGGTGCTGGTGTCCTGATTCCCAGCAGTCAGGAGCACAGGGGAAGGTCCTGCTGAGGACAGAGCTTTAGGAGGGCAGTTTGCCCAGGTCCTGAATGTGTCCTTTCCTCGTGCCTCCTGATCCTTCCCTGGGTCTGCAGCCCAGATCTGGAAACTTCCCTGGGCGCCAGGCCTGGGCAGGTCTTCCAGGCTTCAGGGCCTGACCTCCTCCCTGGCTTCTCACAAGGCATTTGCTCCCCACAGGGCTGAAGGGAGGGATCTATGCTGAGGTTACAAGTCAGTAGGGGGCCCTGGTTCCTGAGAGCCTTGGGGTCATGGAGTCAGAAGCCATGGGGAACCCCCCTTTTAACTCCCCCAAACAGGTCTGCTGTGGCCTCTGATGGTGTCCTGTCATCTTTCCCACCCAGGCTGTGACAGTGCCCGTGGCTCTGATGCATCTCTCATGACTCTGGAAGGTGAGACCCCAGCGGGCCTGAAGTGTGGGGTGAGGCCAAGGGGCACAGCACAGTCTCTATCTGCACCTGACCCTGCGTGAGCAGTGGCTCCTTTGTCAGTGTTTCTTAGCTCACGTCTGCTGTACACGACGCTCCTGCTCCTCCTGGGGAGTCGGTGCACACGGAACCCGTCTCTGCCTTTGGCTTCTCCCTGCCCACCGCTCTACCCCAGGCCTCCATCGCTAGTTCCCCTCCTGCATGCAGACAGCCTCTCTTTCTTGTGAGCAGTGGGTTCTTCAGAGTGGTGCACATAGAGCCCTGGCCCTGAATTTATGACTCCTCTGTCCTGCAGCGTGAGACAGCTGCCTTGGGGTGACTGAGCCACACCCGACTTCTCCAGCCCAGGCCTTGTGACCTCAAGAACACCCAAATCCCCTCCCTGCAAAGGCTTCCGAGTGTGTCCATCGTCCTGTCGGCGTCGGGGAGGATGTGGAGAGCGCAGGCCGGCCCTGGCCCAGGACTCCTGTCCCCACACTGACCCGTGCCCCTTCCTCATCACTGTGGAGGGCCACCTGGGCGACTCTCCCGGAAAGCAGAGCAATCGTCTCCACGTTGGCTGAGCCTGACCCTGTTTCCATGGATTCCTGTGTGCTGAGCTGGCTGGGACGTTTCCTTATCCCTTCAGTTGGCTCTAAGCAGTGCATATTGGTCCAGCTGGGATGCTGATGGTAGTCTTTGAAGGCGGCAGTTGTGTTTCCCTGGATCCCCCACCTGCTGCTGTTGAGACGGGCCAGCGATCCAGTGCTCCGTACTGTCAGCTGGGATCGAGAGCCTGGAGACGGAGGCTATGATGACTGGGGCTTGACAGACTGCACACCAGCGCTGCAGCACGTCCCTGACAACATCAGGTACTGCGGCGGGGAACTGGCTCAGTGGAATAAGCGCTGCCTAGCAAGCGCAAGGGCTTGAGTTCAATCCCCGGTTCTGCAAAAACAACAAAACGTTAGGCGCTCTCTCAGTTGTGCAATGCAGGTCACTGTGCGTATCCCTCTCTCTGCACGTTGCAGAGGTAAGTTCCAGCCTCCTGCTAGCCCAGCCCAAGGTCCTCTCCTACTGCCGGCCGTGCTCAGTCACTCAGCCGCAAGGCACTCCTCCCTCCTGACTGAGCAGACCTGTTCCGGCCCTGGATCAAGGCCTGCGTTCTGGATAGCCGTTCCACGGCTGGATTAGGACTCCTCGGCTCCCCATAACTATAAATATCCTTTAGTGTCTTTATTCTCGCCATGGGCTTCACTGGAAGTGGTAAATTGGAGCTAAACTGGATGGGATTCCAATAACTTCTCCATGGGATTACAAATACAAACTTCCTGGACCGAGGCGAGGACCAGAAGAAGTCTCTCTATTTGGTGCTCAACGTGGCTGGAGCACACGACCTTCTCGGCACAACGACCAGCATCGGGTGCTGGCCATCCACGGGACGTTGTGTGACCAACGCAGAGGTACATGGAGCGTTTTCCTAATTGTAGTGCTCAGAGGCAAGTAGCAAACAGGAGTGTTCTCATCAGGGGTAACATCGGGGCAAGCTCTCCACCTGCAGATGAGATTGAGTTTATTGATTAGAAGATTGTTAGGTGCCGCAAACGTGAAGGTGCCATCTAAGCAAGTTCTTAAATTACTCCGTGAGGTAGCTTCATTCTCAACTTCTTTCCCCAAAGCTGGTGCACTTGATCTCAGAGTTTGGGATAGAATAGTTGGGTGCTTTCCTGTAGCTGAAACCCAACAGAAGAAAATCCACCTGCGAACTATAGCCACATAAAAGCTGGCGAAGGTGGCCCTGTCCTTGCGAGAGTGACAGGTTACCGTACAAGACGCTCTACTTGTGCTAACAAAATGCCTGTGAATAGGGTAACTGAAAGAGCAGTGGCCTTGGGTGGAGCCGTAACCGGAGAACCAGAGCACCATCAACCTGAGGTGCCTCCGAATGGGCTGCTGGAGGAAAAGGAAGCTTGTTTAAAAAGCGCAGATAATCAAATAAATTCATTTTTTCAAGATATTAATAAAGGAATGCAAAACATTTCCAGTTTATTCACACACTCAGCTTTCCTCGCCACACCCAGTTCAGAGGATAATGCCTCCGACACTGTGCTTCCCCACTTTCTTAGCCCACAAAAAAAGCCCAAGTACAGTGATGCGAGGAAAGCTTTGAACTCTTTGCTCTTAAAAGACCTGAGGCAGGGGGCCGGGGAGATGGCTCAGTGGAAAAAGTGCTTCCCTGGCAAATGCAAGGGCCTGAGCTCAATCCCCAGTTCCGCAAAAAAAAAAAAAAAAAAAAAAAAAAAAAAAAAAGACCTGAGGCAGAGTTTACTAGACAGTGGAGCCCCAGCTCCTTATGTTCTTGCTTGTTTGGACACCATAATTCAAGGTGCTCAAGTGATGCCAGGTGATGTTACCCATCTTGCTTGCACATGTCTGCCTCACCCCATTCCTACATTTTAAATCACAATTAAAAATTGGTGGGTTGGGCTGGTGAGATGGCTCAGTGGTCTAAAGCACCTACTTAGAACAAGCTTAGCAAGCACAGGGACCGCGGTTCAATCCCCAGCACCACATGCTAGCCAGCCCCGCCCCCTGGTGGGCTGAGCTGGCCACACACACACACACACACACACACACACACATATATATATAAATTTTTTTTAATTATTTTTTAAAAAAAGGAAGGCCAGCGAGGACCCAGACCAGTGTGGCCATTACGGTCAAGAGGGACATTTCAAGGAAAAACGTCCAAAGCTGCTAGAAGGAAAAGAAGAAAGTGTCTCTGATAGAATCCGAGAAGGTTTTAGGAAAGTGTTTTCGATGGCATCAAAGAGGTTCGGATTCATGAGCGCGTTGGTCTCCGCCTGATCTCAGCCGTGGACATTAACTGCCGTGTGAAGGAGGAAGCCATCAGACTCCAGTTCCGACGCAGCTCTGTAAACTGGCCGATGACCCCACGTGTAAGCTGGGGAGTGCTCAAGGGTATGTACAGTCGTGCCTTACAAATTTACAGTATGCTACAGCATCGCACTGATGATGATATTTTCTTTCAGATTTATAAACATATGCCTTTCCCTTATGCTCCAGATTTTTTTTAAAAAATGTGTTTGGTTGTCACAGGGTCTCACTATGCGGCTCAGACTCAGTGATCCTCCTGTTTTCAGCCTTCCCGGCACTGGGAATACAGGTGTGCGCCACCACGCCTGGACTCCGTGGCCGGCTCAGCCTGCCCTGGGGGTGGGGCTGGCCGGCAGGTGGCGCCAGGGATCGAATCGTGGTCCCGCGCTTGCCTAAGCTTGCCTAAGCAGGTGCTTCAGTCCAATGAGCTTTCTTACAGCCCTGCTCCACATATCTGTAATGGGAAGCTCCTACGATGCCAAGATGAGGTCGTCAGTCAAATGGTAATTTTCTATGTATGCTATTTTTTATATGTATGCTGTTGATGTCATATTTTCTCTGCAAAACTATATCACTGTTGTCTGTTAATATTTGTGGTGGATAGCTAACTGGGGATCAACTTCTGACACCCTGAAGAACTTAACTAGCATGGTGTTGGGTGTGGAAGTGCCACCTGAAAATCATAAAAGGTGGAATAGAAGTTGCCCATAAAACGCTGTTAGGGATGCTGTTTGGCGAACCTGTTGGAGCTGTTGGAAGCTGCTAATTCCTTGGGCTGTTCTGCTGGAGGACCCTGTCATGTTGGCTTCCCCGATGAACTTTGGAGAAGCTTGAGTCCTCATCTTGAGCATCGCTTCTTGGCTCAGGAGGGGAATATGGTGCCCTGCTCAGCCTCACGAAGCTTGTTGCATTGGCTTTCCTGATGGGAACTCGGCTTTCCTCATTGCTGGAGGAGCTCGGGACTCCACTGCTGCTGAGGACGGCGGTGGTACTTTTGGGGGAGCTCTGGTGCTTACCTTGAGCATTGTTTCCTGGCTCCAGTTCTGGTTCCTCAGCTTGCTAGCACAGATCCTTCATCCCGCTGACATAGACTTCTTAGCTTCCACCACGGACCTTTGGGCCTTTCCAGCAGCTGTCCATGAAATGGGCCTGCTTGGGACTTCGTTGTGGGCTCTAGGGCTCCAGTTGGGCTGGTGGGAGGCACTGTTACGAGCTCTGAGCCCTCAGCTGGATTCGTATTTAGTGTGTGCATAGATCTCCAACACTTGTAGTATGTGATTCGTAGGTGATTCATTATAAACTACTATTATAAAATGTATCCTGTAGTATATTGTTCACCTTGCAAAAAACCCAAATCACAACAGAATTACAGGGATTTACTAGAATGTCCTTCATTGATCAGATATAACAGTTCTCTGAACACTTTATATTTCAAGGTGCTTAATAATCAGACAAAATTTTAATAGTTAAGTGTATTTCTCCCAACTAATTATACTAATGTACCCCCAGATTTTGTAAAAGGAACTGTTGGTATTACTTCCTATTTTATATCCCATTCTGCTGCTCACACTCACGCCTAGCTTAAGACACAGATCTCAGCCCTCAAACGCACAGGAAAACTTATTTCATCTGGCTTTCTGTGTCTTCAACAACAGAGACAAAAATTATACACAAGTGCCAGCTTTTGGCTGTGGCATTCAGGACTCCCACCAAAGCAGGACCTTGTTAAGGTAATTCTGAGGCTAAACAATGCTGCCACCCAAGGGTCTACTGGGCCACCGTTCAAGTGTGGCAAAGAAAAATCCTGGGCAGGAGCCTTCCCCAACCTGCAGCCATCTCCGGGGCCTGGTCCCATCTAAAGCTTGAGCGTCATTGGAAATGCAACTGCCCTGTGTGCCTGTGAGCGAGCAAGTCATCCGATTCCCCACCCTCACAGGAAAGCTCTCTACAGACCCATCAATAGTTGACCTGCTCCATCTTGATGCTGAAGAGGAACAACCGAGCTCTGGGTCCCTAACCCCGTTAAGGCATCTTTGTCAGAGCCCTAAGTCTCAGTGGACATCTCAAGTGGAATGCTTTTCTTGTTGACACTGAGGCCACATATAGTGTTCTTCTTGAGCTTTCAGGTCACTGTATTAGACCTACCGTTTCTATAATGGGTGTTGATGGCCAACCTCCATGACCCCTTCAGACAGGGCCCCTTCCCTTCTGACTCGAGACACTGTTTTTCGTTCATTATTTCCTTGTAATCCCAACCTGCCTTACACCTCTCCTGGGGAGAGAGTGCTCCTAAAGCTCCACTTCTCCTTCACCTGCCCATAGAGCCTGTCCTACAAACCCAACCTCAGTGAGCCACCTTCTCCTCTGGGACACTTCCGGTCCCTAGTCATGCCATCCCTGCTACCCCTGTACTAGTTCTGCTTAGGGGTCTTTTAGCCTTCCCCTGAGTTCCCTGATATCCAATAGCCCCTAAACACCAGTAGGAACTCAAGTCTATAATCCATCCTTTTCTCCTTACCAGTGGTTTCATTGAAACAGTTCACTCGCCTTACAACACTTCTATTCTTCCTGTACTTAAACCTAATGACTCTTATCATTTAGCTCAAGATTTCAGGGTTATCAAAATGTAGTCATACCTATTCTGTCATGGTTCAT